TTTGGGACCACTGGAGTAGACAATTTGTGCTCTATTAATTTGGTCTGTTACGATGCTCTGTGTTTGATTACTAATGCCTGTGCAGTACGGCATTGCACACAGAGGACAAAAACGTTCAGCCTCGACTCTTAATCGTCATTTGTGTTAAAATTGGCAAAGCGTACCAAATTGAACAAAACAATATAAATGCAAAATTTGAATTAATGAATATATACCGGTATCCACGGTATAGCAAAATCCATATCATGGAACAACATAATACCGGTAGTCACTTTCATACCGGTATAGCGCCCACCCCTAGTTAACAATTAATCCTGGGTATTCATAAACTGACGTTTCACACTGAACATTTCTAAACACTCTTATTTGCATATTTGCAGGTGTCAATGTCACTCATTGGACGAATGCAGTCTGTGACCTGTTCACATGACGGCTCTAGGACTGCGCATCCACATGATTTATATTGCAGACTGTACTATCAATTATTTCCTGAATGGACTTTTTGGTGGACTATAAAGGTAATAATGAATATAATTCACACGTTTTCGGTCACCATTTTACATTTTCCCCTGAAACTGTAAAACGAATTTTTATACAGCACACAGTGTTTCCATGACTGTCCAAAGCATGTGAATATGAGCCATGCAAATGGGAGTATGTTGCTAAGCATCTAATTGTACCATTCTAACAGAGTATTCTAACAAAGCGGTACTAACCCCGCTACTAAATTACTAGTGTGAAACATACTTTTACCCAGGGTTAAAAGCGAGGTTTAGAATGACGATAAGCCGGGGTTAAGCACTGGGTAAAAAGCCCTATACTGCAATGTGCCCATACATATACAATTTATATTTCTAAGTTACATTTCAGTTACATTTCTGACACACAAGTCCGTTTTTCTTGCTTCCACTAAAGCACAAGATGTTCTTTAGATCATTCTCCAATCATGCTGTAGAACATGATCATCAGGTTTTACATAAACTCCTGGAGTTCATGCAGTTTGAGTGCTGCTGTCTTTAGAGCAAAAGGGGGCATACTAAATAAATTAAGATTCATGTTAATATTAATATTTGACTTCAGCTTTTCACTCCAATTTTAATGCTGCTAATAAAATGTGTAATTATATAAAACTGAATTATTTTCACTAGTGGTCTTGAATGTCTGTTCAGTATACAGTTAAGATATACATCTCTTCTGCTATGGTAGAAGCTATAGACCTACTTTTATTTTTTCAGAAGAATGGAAGCTATTTGAAAACTTTTAACAGACCTTTTTGTCAATGTCGACAACAGAAAGCAAATAAAAAAAGCAAAAGAAGAACTAAAGCCTAACCACTAGCTGACAAATGTGTTTATTTTCAAATAAAAGCTCTCCACACCGCTGCCTGTCATGAGGGTGGGCGCAAGGCTCTCGCTGAAGGTGACATTTTGCTGTGCTGAATTAGAAATGTTTTGATTGAAGAGATGGGAACTCAATATAAAGTATCTGGAGTTTATTCAAGGCACTATTACAGTGCAATGAATTCAGGCAAAGTAAACATCATTGGGACGTTGTTGCAACCAAGACACATTACTGTTTACCAAAACATTTTCTTTCCAATTAGCAGCTTGCGCTCATTACTCTAGCTTTGGATGAATAGGCACATTGAATAAGGTTACGGTGGTATCGTGTAGGGAAGTTTCACAAGTGATGAAAGAAAGACTGTGAAAAAAACACTTTCCATCTGTTCATGTTTCTGTTGTATAGACCTTTGATAGTGCTAGAGCCCCCCATCCCTCCCCCCAAGACAAATGACTTGTTATTTGAGGACATCAATCTTTTCATTTATCAAAACGTATTAGTACATAATACATTCCAGGAAAAATAATGTTGTGTGATAATGTACCACATAACAAACATTATTCAGGGGAAAAACAAGAAATTGTTCTCTCAGTCTGACATTGTCTCAAATTGATATTGTGAAAAAGACTATTTTATTAGAGAATGCTGTAAGCAATATACAGTCAATAATGATAATAATTTTAATAATAAATAAAATAGAAAAAATAAAATGAAATCAAATAAAAGATTTAATATTAGAATAAAAATATTAAATAAAAAATATTAGAATATCAGCAGGGCTGAATCACAGTCGTACTGATATGTAACAGCACAAATGTGATGTTGCTTAATTATTAATGGTTGTTTTTTTTCTGTAAACATCTAGAGTAGTTCCAAATGTTACCAAATGTTCCAAAACATACTGTATCAGGACTGAAACCCACATTTCCTCCAGTTTTGTAGACCCCAGCAAATGTGACAAAAAAAAAAAAAAAAAAGTCCCTTTTATTTCCAACTGATCAATCT